CGCTCAGCGAGCTATGGAGAGGGCTATGCTCGGAGTTTCTCTGCGTGATAGACTCAGAAATGAGGATATCCGCAGTAAAACCAGAGTGACCGACATAGCCCAACGGATTAGTAAGCTGAAGTGGCAATGGGCCGGCCATATAGCTCGAAGAACCGATAACCGATGGGGAAGAAAGGTTCTCGAGTGGCAGCCTCGTACCGGTAGGCGTAGTGTAGGACGACCCCCCACTAGATGGAGTGACGACCTGGTAAGATATGCAGGAAGTCGATGGATGCAGGTGGCTCAGGACCGTGCTTTGTGGCATTACTTGGGGGAGGCCTATGCTCAGCAGTGGACTTGTGAAGGGCTGTGATGATGATGATGATACATACCTTACATGTTAGAGAGAGATAGATAGATAGAGATATTTACGTTAAAAAGAGACAACAGCAGGGCATGTAGAGAAGCTGTTATTATTCTCAGCAAGTCAGTTCAGTACGCTCTACTCCTTTGTGTACTGCGCACCGTTCCCAATTCAACTTACGTGGCTCTCCTACATACTATCGACTTTTGGCTTGGCTTTTTGGACTGGAATCGACCTGCAAACTTAACTGAACTAGCATTATTTGGACTGGAAGTGATCTGCAAAGTAAACTGACCTGCCATTATCTTGGACTACGATTGTGTGTTTTGTGATTTAGAGTTCTGGCGCATTTTGGACTGTTTAGCGTTTAACATGCCGCAACCGTACACACCACAGAAATACGCTAATATGCATTTAATCTATGGAGAATGCCGATGTAATGCTAACATTGCTAGCAGACTTTATCGAGAAATATACCCAAATTCTCAAAGATATCCTGATTATCGAGTGTGCCATCCAATAGGAGAAGCGCTGGAAGACCTAGACTGGATCGTGATGAAGAAGTTCTCAATGAGATAGAAAATTATTCGACTACTTCGGTACGCGCCATAGAAGAAGCTACATGAATCTCGAAAAGTTCTGCACATCGAATATTAAAACGTCACAAGCTTCACCCATATCACTACAGGCGTGTGCAGACGTTATTACCGCGGGACTATCCGCTACGAGTCAGATTTTGCCGTGTGATGATGCAAAGGCACAGTGAAGATCCCCAATTCCTAGACAAAATTCTATGGTCGGATGAATCAACATGCAAGAAAGATGGGTATTTAAATCTTCACAACCTACAGAGTTGGAGTAATGAAAATCCGCACTTGATGAGACAAGACAAATTCCGATATCAATTCAAGGTTAAACTATGGACCGGCATATTAAAAATGGAAAAGTAATTGGGCCCTTTGAGTTACAAAGAAACTTAGATGGTAATAGTTATTTAAACTCTTTACAAAATGACTTGCAAGAATTGTTAGACGACGTGCCCTTAAGTGATCTCCAAAACATGTGGTTCCAAAATGATGGTTGGCCAGCACATTATGCCCGTCCTGTGCGAGAATATTTAAATCAAGAGTATCCAGGGCGTTGGATCGGGCGACTTGGTCTTTTCGTATGGCCACCCCGTTTACCAGATTTGAACCCCCAGGACTTCTTCTATTGGGGTTGTCTTAAAAACAGGGTCTACTCAAAACCCACAGACATTGGACGAGCTTCGTCGAAATATCACTCAGTCTGCTGATTACATTAATAGTATAAGATATGCAAAACAAATAAAACGATCATTTTTAAGGCGATGTCGTGCATGTATTAATGCTAGTGGCAAACAATTCGGACATTTGCTATAATGTTAATAACTTAATAAATTACACGTGAAACTGTTTGTACCATTTGTTTTGAAATATTAGACATTTTTCAAGAACTAATATTTTTATTACACCCGACCGTTATTTGGCCCCTGTTAAGAAATAATAGGCTCATATTTTTTTGAAACTTGTTTTCCTAAAGTATTATACCATTTTGGAATATTGGTTAGTTGCGTCAATTTTTTAAAAAAAAAACTTGCCATACTTGTGTTCATACTTTTTTTTACACCACGATAAGTTAAAGTTGGTTAAAAGTAAAATTCTTCAAAAAATTTAGGGAATAAAATAAGTTTCATTAATTTTCGTGATAAAACAAGTGATATTCTGGATTTTTTAAGAATTGGGGTAGATAGCAGTGCTATTCAGGTTGCCTATAGAAAAAAAAGAAACAAATATTAAAAAAAATTGTGGTCATGGTAGTGAAAAATATCATAAACGGTCTCAATTTCTGAAGAATTTAATTTTTTACATAACTTAAAATATAATTGGGATATATTTTTTTCTTATTTTCCCGATTAGTCCGGGGCAGGTCTATTCTCCGGTGTTGGCTTATCGTTGAATTTTGGGACATGTTGTATATATATATAAAGCTCTGAAATCGAAAAAACATTTATATACTCTATAACCGACCGGCACTTTTCTTACATAAAAATCTATAGAGCATAGGCTCGTTGACGTAACTACTATTCTTGATATTTGAAAGCATTCCACTTATTTATACTTAAAACATACTTAAATTTGAACAAAACCTATATATAAAGGAAAATATACTTAGATTATAAATTGAAACCCATTTTCCTTTATTTAAACGAAGCCTACGCAAATAAGATAGGGCGTCGAATGGACGGAAACCGCAAAGTATTTTAAGTGACAAAGAGCACCAATTAGATATTAACGAGGGAGATCAACATAATCGCTCAGAATTTAAGTAAGCTAATTAAGCCACACTTTTAAAATGATAAGCCTTTACAGCTCTAAATTAGAAAGTAAATTACTGACTAAGTAGTATTTTTATGGACGTTAAAAGTAGTACAACTATAACCCATGGTGGCCCGTCTCAACAGAGACTGGCCAACTGCGCAGGACAGGATAAAAGTGCACGAGCAATGATTTATATATATTACACTAGATTAGTAATTACCGCGCTAAAGCGTTGCCACTGCACATATGGCCACAGCCATATGCCTGGCTAACGTCTGTTCAGTGTACAATGTGACGCCGACAGAGTTGAGCCGCGACAAAAAATGTGAAATTGAGTAGTGAAATAATGCAATTCAAGGTTATGAAAAAATAATAAATCAAGCAGAATTACATTCTACACATAATTTTTAGTTCTTGTTTTCATATAAGCTAAAAAACCTCAAATAATTAAACAAAATAATCGAATATTGCGATTTAGGTTCAATGTTGTACTTTTCCGCCTTTGTGATAATCGAACATTAATGGAAGACTATACAATTACTGGAGTGAATTAATTTATTACCTCTGACTTTTAATATTTTGGAAATTAAAATAAAAACTACGTTTTAACTTTCATTCAAAGTAATTAGTTATTCTTATTTTAGTTTATTCATGAATGATCTATTAAATATATTTTATTACCTACTTTATGTTAATAATTTTATATTAATTATATTTTATTACCTATTTTATATTGTTTGATTTATTAGTACAATAATAGTACTTATAAAAATGTATTGTTTCATTATTATTCTTACTTCTTTTCATCTGATAAGATTTGTATCCTTTTTTTTTCTAAGGGAATGTAATAAAAATTTGAAAATAAAATAAACTTTTTAATATAAAAACAAATAGGTAACTTCAGCTTAAAAAAAAACTCATTTTTATTACGTATTTTACGTAAAATTCCATACAGTAAGCCACATCAACCCTTCATTGCATGTTTGTGTTTCTATCTTTATCTAATCTTAGCGACGATATTGTTTTCGCAACTTGTGTAAGTGAGATAGATATAATATGTTTATTTAAAATGTTTAGGAATTTCAAAGCTACGTCGTCACGTTTGTATAGTGGTTACATGTTTTTCGACGCGTGTTAATGTGGTTTGTTCCTCTAGTTTTGTATAACTCAATGTGCACGAGTATGTGCCCAAACACAAGTGCACTCTTGATTTACTCACATCATAGTCCAACGGGAGAAGAACAACTAGATATTAAGCTAAAGACCAACGAATTTATGTTCCTTCCTGCACGAGGATGAAACACTGTCAATTTGCTGACTCCAGGTTGCTACCGAGAAATTATTGACAGTAAAACCCACCCATAACTAATGTTTGCCATCGGGCCATTGACTGACTATTTGTTATAAGCATTCCTACTGCTTATAACAAATAGTCAGTCAATAAGTTTTACTATATAATATAATCAATAACATGGACCAGATAATTGATAGAACTAGACGTTACTTTGCGGAAATCTATTATAATAAAAAATAAAAATATAAATTTCTTTGCAACCTTCCGCTAAATATATTTAGCGGAAGGTTACAAAGAAATTTTATGTTTTTATTTTTTTATAATAACATTGGACCATCCAAAGAATACCCAAGGTTCTTAACGTGGCACAGTCACGCTACAACTGCGTTATGGCTGTTACAAAAAGACGCCGAAATTATGTGAAGCATGAATGTTTTTCTTTTTCTTTTTTTGACTTCTAAGTGAAAAGATTGCGGGTCTTTAACACTGCATCCACACCTTTTAATATTTCTCCTGAGTTTTCTATTAGGAGAAAATTAACATTACTAACTTTGCTGGATTTCAGTAATGCGTTAAATACAGTCGATTTTGTTATCTTGTTAAGTATATTGCGCTCTAAAACGTAGCAGCATCTACTATTGGATAAAGTTTGATTCCGTATTTGTCGGGTTTTGATTTCACGCACTTTCGGAAAGGACATTTTCCTCGAAAGCCAACCATCATCTCATCGATAACAACGTTCTCTCCCACTGAATATGACAAAAGACAGTTTTTTGTAAACATATCTAAAATTTCTCTTATTGGCGCAGCTTTGTCTAGAGTACGACGAGCTTGTCGCGTAGTAGCATCATCAAACCGCAATGAATTCAGTAGAAATTTTTCTCTTTAGGTATACCTGTCCCATCACTTGCATATAAATCTTCTAAATTGGCGTGTGATGTCTTCAAGGATCCCGCTATGTACAACAATCCGAAAAGTGCTCGAATTTTCACCGCATCTGTCGGTTTGAAGTCACGTATTCTGTTTACTTTATTTCTGTCACCCCCACACATTTCCTACGAGTGCCCGCATCTTCTGTGAGAATATTTTGAACTTGAGGCCTCACTCTGTTATTGTTAGAGTTTTGCCACTTCGTTACTTTAACGCGCCCTGTAAAACAGCTACCTATTTCTGAAAGTGGCAAATCATCCTCTTCTGAGTCGGAGCAGTTTGATTCCTCAGCAGATCGTGGTTCCTCCACAACGATGTGGTCGGAAGTTTCAGAGCCTTGGACGCTGAGCTCTGATTCATTCTCTTCTTCGTCTTCTCTTAGTAATTCCTCGAGTTTTGCACTTTGTGGTAACCGTCTAAGCCTCATTTTATATAAAAAAATCCAAGCTTAACATCTCCGGCTGTGGTTGACTGGTTTTGTAGTTACTTTTTTGGGCGCCGACAGCGTATTCAAGTAGGAAAAGGACCACGTTTAGAGAATACCAGCGTATATTAGCACCGTAATATTGCCGAGTGTCTAATGGTGACTGTAAGATTCCGGTATATGGAGTAGAAATAACGAATTTGAAATGAATTTTTAATCGACGATAGATACTGCTATAGTGTCTATGGGCCACAGCACTTTGATACTATTAGTGTTGGAGAGAACAGAGGAGATAAACTAGTGTCACTTTTGGCCGTATTTTTTGTCATCATTAGCTACCCGAGCAGGCATGTGATGTTGAGAAGACTCCAAAACTAGAGAGGGTTTTATAAATAAAACGATATATCGCCAAAATAAAATCTTTCAAAATAACTTCTACCGTCATTTAATTACAGTAACAGCCTATAAAAGCCCACTATTGAACGTACGCCTCCTAATAAGTTGCTTTATAGGGATATTTGACAATATTACTTGGGTTGGCAAGCGGGTATCCACCGCAGTTAATTATAATTATGAGCTGTTATTAGAAAAATGGTGATGGCCATCTCCTGTTTCATTTTCCTCTGTCGTCTCTAACGAAACCCACGGGATGGTACGCTGCCATCACACGGCAGACTCTTTCAAAGTAGGGAGGATTTAGCGTAATCGGTTAACTTAGCAGATGATCGTAGTGTCAAACGTCTCACCTCTTTAATACTGCTCCCCATCGCCAGTCTGGTCCTTTTACATCTATATACTGAATATACTGTATCCTCGTGTTTTCATACCCAACGCAGTAAGCTTGAATTGTCATTGGCATAAGTCATATTATCAATAGCCAAATAGCGAATCTACCAGAATGAAGCGAGCGAGCTCGAATCCTGCATTATGTTTGCGGATTTTTAGAGTGCTTTACAAATTTTTAACCTTTTAATTTTTTAGAAAATCGTTGTTTAATTGATATAAATTCAAACCTAATTATTATTTTTTGAACAATTATCGTAAAAAATATACATTATGTGTTTAATGTAATCGGTTTGTCTAAAACTGCTGTAATGATTAGGATGGAACTTTGTATTTAGATAATGTTTTACATTTCGAGTGGCACTGTAAGTGTCATCGTTGAGAAAATTATATTTTTTTGTACGATGAGTCAAGTCGCTCGCTCAGAGTAAGTTACTGGAACATTCAGTTGCAAATTACTTTTATAATTAAAGTTGTGTACAAAACAAACTATTGGCAAAAAAACCTTTTAACGACTTTTATTAAGTTGTTTAAGTAAACAAAAAAGCAGCACAATTAAATATAGAAGTTGCATTGCGCAAGGCTATCACTAGTCCCTAGGGAAAAGAAATTGTAGTATGCACACACCGTAAAAGTTATTAGAGTCTAATTTCTTACTATCAGCTATCCTTTGTTTTAAAAAATTGTAAAATTAATTTTTTATAGTAAGACGAATCAACTTTTGTTTGAATAGTGTTGGCTTAAGAGAATTTTATTCCCCGCTCCCGTGAGTGTTGTAACAGGTGACTATGGGAGATGACCACCACCGTAAAATAGCAGCTTTACCCTTTTTAATGCACACGAACTATTACATCTTAGTCCACAGAGGTGACAACGCATCGGCATTTTGGTTCTTAATTGAGAATAGATGTAGCCGTCTATGGGCCACATCATCCACTAACCATCAAGTGGACTGTGTGTTTGTTTGTCATATTTATACTATAAAAAATAATGCAGAAGATATAATGCCTACAAGTGTAAGTAACAATACAAGAGCTAGTCTCATCCGAAAATATTCCGATGATATCCCGAACGTTGCTCCGCGTGAAAGTAGAATGACTCTCCAGCGCTTTAAAAAGCTTATAAAAGCGGGTATTAAAACTTATGCTTGAAGTCCTTCTGACGCTTTCCAATTCTATCCTATATGCTCGGTTTGCTTCAGAAACATGAAGCAGAAATGCGATGGGCTTGTTCTTTCAAAACATTTCTTTTTTGTCTCTTATCAAAGAACTAAAAACCAATTTCTATAGTAGCTTTACTATGTGCTTTTTTTGAGTGTCTTTGTCAGTAATTTGCACTCAAACTTGACGAATCTCAGCCTTCCGAATATGTTGGTTTCATACATACTTTTCAGCAAGTTGTACAGAAAACCGAAGGTACAATATGTCAATTTGCTGATGATATGCTGTATAGTGTTTGTACATAAGGACTACTAACTTCATCCAAGTACAGAACTAGGGTAAGAACACTATCTAATTGCCGAGAGATGTAAGAAAGGGTGACGTTGTATCGACAAAACTCTTCACTGCTGTATCGGAAGACATTTTTAAGCAGCAAGATAAGAGGATATGTTATCAGCATCAATGGTTAATACATATAACTCAGCTTCGATTCACAATTTGCTTCAATCGCGACTCCCGACTGATAGATCTTAAAATAAACATGGTCAAGATAAGGGCTATGTGTAATGTTCTTGACACTACTTATACCGGTAGTTATTGGGAATTTACCCAGGACAAATCGTCCATATAGGATAATGTTGACGGATCTAACTAGGCTGGGTAACGTTCGAGAGATTACGATACATTTTTTGTCACTAGATAGATATTAAAAATAGATTAAAAAACCGACAAATGATAAGAAAGAAAGATTCTTAAGGCCTTTTTTTAATCAGTAGAATTGTGAAAAGTTTTAACAATGATGATAATGCTGATGATGGTACGGTTATATTAATTTTCCTTATGATATCGTGGTAATGTTGAAAAATCGCTTTCATTTTGACCCCATTAAAGTTATGCTATTATTTTTATAGCAAAAAGAAAGAATGGTTCGCCTAGAGACATGCGAGATTTTTGATCCCCCTTTGATGTATTATAAACGTATCTTTAATCGCGTTTGTAGCGCTTCCAAAGAGTTTTTTCTTTGACAGCGTTAACATCAAATAAAGCAAATACTATATTTGTTTTGTATATCTACCGAATCTATTGAAAAAATTACACGCACTGAAATAAATATAATTCAATTACATCTTTTTCTCAATAAGACATACGGTAAGTGTGGTCCTATCTCACATAGCAATGTTAATTCTACGTAACCGGTTACGGATGATGTATGATGATAAAACTAGGGTAAGGTATAATTATGGTGTCACAAACGAGTTTTAAATTGTCCATCACCTATAATATGAGCATTGTCTACAGAATACGCACCTTATACTACTTTAATTACAAAAAAATAACTAGTACAGTGTACGCAATGCCATTTAAGGCTTATAGTAGGGTAACCTATGATACGAAATGGGTATTTACTCCAGCGTTGTGGGAAGTGGGATGGGAAGAAAAAAAGTTGTATAATATTTCCTATTTCAGTGATGGGGAAGCGTCTACAGATTTTCAAAAATGGTAAAACTACTACAATCTAGTAGAGGTGTTCAAAAATTAATTCCATCGCGTCAGATATTTAAAGACGATATTAAGTAAAAAAATGTTCCCATTCAAAAGAATAACGATTCGGAAGTGAGACAAGCTGGTAGGAAATTTATGAACATGCAAAAAACAGTTGCCATATTGAAATACTTGAGCGTGTCAGATATACAGAAGGTTCAGCTTGAGGTGCCAGTTGTGGTAGCTTAAAATCTGACTATTATTTTGGGGGATATAATGTTCAAACTGCTATAAATATTTTTTATTTATATTTTTATCTACACATTTTTCTTATGTGACTGTGAATGGCATGACAGGAGACTCAGAAATAGGGAAAAAGTAAAAGGGAGAGAAAGGCGCGGAGTGGGGTAGACACAATTTACTACAACTGCACGCTGTCACCTTCATTGGCGATCCTCTCTACTCTTAAAATTCAATGCTTTCTATACGCTATTGGGTTGTGGATTTTTGTATTAATACAGATTGATATGCTACTTTTAAGACTTGTAACACATACAGATAAAGAATCTGATAAATTTTACCCGAGTTAGTGCTCCTGTTATGCCTTGCTCTTAATCTTGATACATTCATTTAATCTAATTTTAAGTAATACTTAAAAATTTTTAGAAATGAGACCAAAATATTTTTTAAAGGAACTATATTCTCTAAGATTGAATATGATGCTGGTTACTTTAAAATATTTGCGAAAATTAATTCAAAAACATAACAGAGCTACAGCAGAGCAGTCGCTGAAACTCTAAAATTTTCAGAAATGATTTTAGTTACAACACAGATGTTTACAACAGTATTTTTCTTTAATCTTACTTGAAATAATATATTTATGTTTATTAAGTTTTTGTTCATTATAAAAGTCCTTACACAAAGCGGAAAACTTCTCTTCAATTATTGGTGTAGTTATAAGAGACCTAGTTCATGATCCCATCAGTAAAATAATTCAGACTTTTCTGCTTTAGAAGCGGAAAGCATAAATTTGATGATGATGATGATGATGATGATAATGATAATGATGAACTGTAAAAAAATCATAAACCTACTCATACATCTGTAAAGATTTAAGTAATAATCATATCTAATTTGTCATGAGGTTGCGGTGTAAGATAATCTACTACTAATACTAAGCCATCCATCTCGTGTTTATTTACAAATAAAAACTGAAATAGGCAATGGACAGCAGTATTTTGGATATGAAAATCACAACTCAATTATAATAAAAACTGCAGTAACTACCTCGCCAGCCAAGCGTGCTTAATTGTCACGGTTGGCAAATATTCCGGTTGTGAGTAAATCTATAGGGGACGGGGATATTATCAATAATAGACTTTTTTGTAGGCCCCCATTCCATTCATCTTAGTTCTCACGGGTGAAAATGTCTGCATTTTGATTCAGTATGGAGGATATACGTCGATGTCTATGGGCCACATCAACCACTTACAACCAGGTGGACTGTGTGCTTGTTTGTCACTCTATCCAATAAAAAATGTCCCTCTGCAAGATGCAGGAGTGTAGAAGCTTGATTTT